TATTCCTCTCCCTTTTTCCCTCGAGTCCTTTGCATTATTTACTTGCGAGGGACTTGGCCCGAATCTTTTGTTCTGCTAAGCACAAAAAAAGGGTGGCTCGTTTTTAATTATTTATATTTTAATCGCTCGCCCAAGTTAATTACGCAGCAGAGAGACGTTAAAGCACTCGGATGAAAGCGGCTAAAACTGCAAGTTCATCAAGTTTGCTTCTCAGTGAGAGAAAGTGGAAAGTGCACGGACTGCACTTAAGTGCAAGTGCGGATGAAAATGTAGCAAAAGCGTAATTTGATTATAATACCGTAGAGCGATGGAATAGCATGCCCCAGGTCTAATGATGCAGGTCCAGGGAGCAAACAGGATGCCTAACCAGATTACCAATATGTTTTGACTGGCCTCCCGGCAGCCTCCTTATCCGCCACTCTAAACCCCTCAAGACAATCAGTCGGGCAAATTCAATTTCAGTTGCTCTGGCTTAAGGCCAGCTGAGAAATGGATTTCATTTCGACATCGCGAAAAGCCCCGGGAACTCTTCCGCTGGCAAATGGCAATTAGTGTCCATTAGAAACGCTGTTTGCAGGTTAAAGTTGCCATTTAACTTTCACGAGCTCTTTAAACAACATTATCCGCGCAACGCTAAGCAAAAGTTTCCTCACTTTCCAGATTTTCTATACATATCAATTGTGAAATGTGTTTTTTTCCATGGGAAACCATACGAAAGAGTTCAACATGCGGATGATGCAAGGGTTAGCAACTGAAGCCATTAAAAAGAAATGTATTTTTAGACTATGAGAATTACGTGATTAACGAACTCTTCAGACTCACAAGATCAGGCGAATCCAAACAAAGATTTGTTATGAAATGGAATTGTTTGAAATAAGGGGAATATTTTCGGAATCATTTATTAAGAACTCTAAATGAAACTGTTTCTTACCTCAAAAAGGTGGAAATGCAATAATATTAACGTTTTTAAAATATTTAAGCAAACCAAGGCACGGATGAAACGGATGAAGGATGGGATGGGTTTTAACCATACTTTAATTTTTTGTATAATAAAGAAGGCTTTATAACAAATGTTACCGATGCTTTAGGGGTAAATCTGTCCCTTAATTTAAAAGATCATTTTTAAGGAAACCCATAAGAGATAAACAAACAGATCACAAACAAGACATTTCGAAAAGCATGGAGGCTGGCAGTGGATTATAATATTGAATTGTTTCTGATTCCGAGATAAAAAGTAAAATAAATAATAAGACAGATAGTCAACTTACTAAACCAACCCAAACATAAATATACGCCCCTATACCAATCAGTATTAATCAACCCGTCGAAACAGCAATTCGCAAAATCATGCACACATAACAGTTCCCTAAGCCCTTACATAACCCCTATAGAAACCACAATTCCCAAGGGCCCTGCCCCCTTTTGAATAGATTTTGAATTTGTTTGTTGCAATTTGTCGTTTTCGGGTTGTCCACCGAAAATGCGAATGGGCTTTGGCCAACTACCGAAGCTGACCCAGTTTGTCTGAGAGACGCGTGAGGCAGTTTTAAAAATAAATCGAAATTGGATGGGTGGGGGCCTTTGCGAGGGGTTGGAAAAACAAACAGAGGAATTTTATGTTTAATGGCTGCTGGCGAAATGAAAAATCACACAGCAAATTATGTTGCATGTTGTTACAAATACAATCTCGTAGAACGCAGATGAAATTCGCTTTTCGTTGCTCACTTTTGCTTTTCAACAAATATTTCTTTGGGTTATTTCTGTAAAACTTGGTCACGTCACGACCGACAGTAAAAACAATTCGAGAAAAAGTGTAATTTTAATTTGAAACAAATTCGTTAAAATGTTTTCTGCATTCGTTTCTTTTGCTTTTTTCATGGTTTATTTGCAGAGTGCACAAGTAACAAGAAACAAACAAAAAAACGTCACACACCAACATCCAAAAATCAGATTATGAATTATGCAACCAAGCATCCACAGCAGCAAAATAGAGCAACTAGAACCACAGCACGAACTGCTTAATGCACAAAAGTAGAGACCCCTAGACTTGGCCAAACTCGTTTGCGGAGAAGTGCCGAAACAGACCCAAAAAGAGCCGCAGACCAGAAGTCAACCGAAATTTCCCAGGAGGAGTACTCCGGCAAACAAAGGAGACCAGAAACCGGAGACCCCTGACCATTCGCCATGGTGGACGACATCTCCCCGATGCACCATCGCATGCAGAAGAAGACCAGGAGCGCCTCCATTTGTGCCACGGGGGCCAGCATCGAGACGGTCATCCATGGACTGCCCGGCGCCTCCGGAAGTGCCACGCCCGAGGGCGGTACACCGGGATACCGCCGTCGACGACCGGCCACGCGCTCCCAGAGCGCCCGCATCACCTCGGGCGCCAGATCGGTGAGTACGCGGCGTATACGTAATATACTCATAGATAATACACTTAGAAAGCAGCCATGCGGTACAAATTTAGCATTAGCATTTGCATCTGCCCGTCGTCACTGGCGAAATTTTGCTTATTTATTTATAGTTTTCATTAGATGCACGTTTTTTACTATAAATAAGCAGCGAACGTCGACATTTGGCGCATTTTCTAGACACGCACATGCAGATTGCCTGCTCAACAATATTATAATGTCATCTTTAATTTGCTAAAGCACTTTGGCATATCCAAATATTATTTATTGGGTGGGAAAGTGAAATTGTGTTTGGAGCAAATGGACTTCAATATATAATTTTAGCCGAAAATAAATATGTTTGAATACTATATTTTCCCTTTCAGCTTAATCTTAAGAAATATTTAAGACACAAAAGATTTTTATTCTTGAATTCAACTTTTTGGATTTATCGATTTTGCAATGCACTTGGTTAACGATTTTCTAATATTAAATTAATCTTAAATTTGAAAATAATCAACATGAATATTGTTTAAAAAATTATTTACATGATATTCAAAGAGTAATTATATTTAAAACGTTGAATACTCGAGATTCTCAAAAGCAACGTTTTCCGTTTTTGTGTAATCAATTTTCCACCGAAACTCCAAAGTTTCAAATAAAGTCTTAGTAAAGCTCAATTTACTGCTTTTAATGTTAAACTGATACTACAATTTTGAAATCCATAAATGAACTGTAATGATTTGGTCCTTGTTTAAAGTGTTCCACTGAATCCATGTGCAAAAATTTCTTGCTTGCAAGACTGTTATATTTTACTGTTCAAAAATCTACTGCTTTTAATTATCAATAATTGAAAACAAAATTTAAAAGTCCCGAAATCAACTTAGACGATTCTTTCCAATCCACCAGAGTTGATTTGACTTACTTGGCAACAAATTTTGAACTGTTCCGCTTAATTGAAGTGAAAACTTTAGTTTGCGTTTAATTAAGGCTCTTTGAGTACCGAGTGTGCTCAGCGGAAGTACCTCCGAATCGAGTTTGGTTGCCATACCAGCTGCACAGCCATGACCAAAATCTCTTTGAAGTAGGTGTATGTGTACATAGTAAGCAACTCTAACTTGCGTGCAGCAAATATCCGAGGGGCAACGGGGATAACTACATTTCCGCAGACATTTCCGAGAAACTGAGAACGCAATCACGTGCACTTCGCTTGTTTAATTGACTGATTACAGATTAAGTTGGCCTAAATCAGATTCATGGATTAGCTCTCTATTCTCTGGTCAGCAGGCTGTTGTTGCCAACACTGAAGGCAGTCCTCAGATGATCCGTCAGGTCCATTTCATGCCTCACGGAGCCCTCTTGTGTCCCAGCGGCTTCCTGATTCAACTCCTGGCTGATACTCCTGACTGACTTCACGCTTTGACTGCTCAAAATGGAGGCCTTCCGTTGCGTTCCAGTGCATTCCCGCTTTGAGCCCAGCCGCTCATTTCCGGCCATCTTGTCAAAGCGTCTGGCACACCGCTTCTTCTTGGCCTGGTTAATATAGTGCTCGGCCTGGTCCTTGATCAGCTTATGGCACTCATACGGCGGACACTTGGGCGGCATACGCAGGCACTTGCAGAAGCTTATGTTGTGCATGAAATACTCATCGAAGTCCTCGTTGGGGGCCAATAGCTTCTGGTAGTACTCCACGCTGTTCAGATCCAGGGGGTCCAGCAGACGGGCAGCGCAGTCCAGCTCGAGGTGACCACTGTAGAAGTAGGCGAACAGTTCCTCCACCAGGTCTATGAAGAACTTGATTGGCTTGTGGGAGGCGTCGCCCAGGATAAAGGGACTCTCCTCGTTTAGATCCAGCTTGGCGCATTCGCGTCGGAAGATCAGGACATACGGACGCAGGCTGTGGATGGCCCAGCTTTGGTTTTTGTTGGAACTGACTATCACCTGGTAGTGCAGATAGTACTTGTTGATGATCGCCTCCTCCGACTCGATCTCGTAAATGTGCGGGCACATGCAGTTCATGTCAACCTGCATGGTGATCTTGTAGCGCTGGATCAGCTGGCTGAGGGTCTGTGCCGCGATCCTTTGCAGGCCCAGCTCCTTCTGGTAGGACTCAAAGTAACTCCGAAACTTTTCCTCGATCACCAGTAGGATCTTGATCACCGTCTTGTCAACGGAATCGGAACTGTCCAGATTCAGGATCGCGAACTTGGCCATGCTCTCGGTTACCGTGGTGCGAGAAAAAATGCTCTGGCTCACCATTAAATGGTACAGCCGATCACGCATTTCCATTTTCGGTTCTGTTTTTTAGTGTCTTGCCAAACTTTTGAAAACTATGTAAAGGCCACGTCGATGTTCTATACGGTGGCCACTTTGATTGTTTATTCGAAACCTATGAAGTTGTAAATGGAAACTTTTACACAGGCTTTTATTTTTATCAAAATCAAGAAAGTATAAAACGATTTCTTCAACTAGCTTAACGTTACGTCTCGTAATAAAGCTTTTCATTTCAACTTAAGAAGCATTCCAAAGAAATATTTAGATCATCTAACAAGATTTTATCGTTGTTGATTGAGAATGTTTGCGGTGACTCAAATAAAATTCCAAAATTTTACGCTAGAGATATCGAGAACTTCTCTTTTGAAGTCAGTTTTGTATTCTCTAAAAAATATCGAGTATCCCAAAAGAACCCCTTAGTAAGTATAAAAAATATATTGAAACAATTTTAAAGTGAATGCCGGGTAATATTTTTGACTGGCAGATCTACCTATTTGGAACATAATTGAGTATCTCCTGTTCCGAGGATTGTTCAATGCTATCTTTCGAATTTTTATTGCCGAATTGAAATCATTTATCAAGGCTATGCTAAGCAACAGTAGCAAATCACATTGTTTCAGATTGATTCAGTTACATTTCTGATCCCAATTTATATAATTGTAGAAATCGTTATAAAATAAACCTAATAAAAGCCTGAAAAATTAAAGTAACATGCGTTCCCCTAATGTATTCAAGATCATTAAAACCAAAGATGACTATTGGGGGGGACTATGGGGGAACCATTATTTTCCGCAGAGCAGCGCAGGAAGCTATCAATTTCCGAATTATTTTCCGCCGAGCAGCGCAGGAAGCGATCAATTTCCGAAGCGAGGAGCCGAGGGTCTCGGGTGTGGTGGCTTAGCCTGGATCTTTGTTCCATGTCCGATTCCTCAGTAAAGTTAAGTGTTAATTTCTTCTGGTCCGATTCGTTGCTGGGCCGTCTGGACTCGGCCATCTTGGCAAATCGCCTGGCACACCTCTTTTCCTTGGCCTCGTGAATAAACGGCTCCGACCGATCCTTGATCACTTGAAGTTGTGAACACTCATTTGATTGACACTTGGGCGGAACCCGCAGGCATTTGCAAAAGCTTATGTTCAGCATGAAGTATTCGTCGAAGTTCTCGTTGGGGGCCAATAGCTTCTGGTAGTACTCCACGCTGTTCAAATCCCAAGGACTCAAGAGGCGGGCAGCAGAGTCCAGCTCGAGGTGACCGCTGTAGAAGTAGGAAAAAAGTTCCTCCACCAGGTCACTGTAGAACTTGATGGGCTTGTGGAAGGCGTCGCCCTGGATAAATGGACTCTGCTCGTTTTGGTCCAACTTGGCGTACTGCCGCCGGAAGATCAGGACAAACGGACGCAGTCTATGGATGTCCCAGCACTGGCTCTTGTTGGAGCTGACGATCACCTGGTAGTCCAGGGAGTACTTGGTGACCATTGCATCCTCCGACTCGACCTCGTAGATCTGGGGGCTCATGCAGCTCGTGCCCTCCTGCGTGGTGACCCTGTAGCGGTGGATATGCTGGTTGATGCTCTGTGCCGCGATCCTCTGCAGTTCCAGCTCCTTTTGGTAGGACTGAAAGTAACTGCGAAACATTTCCTCGATCATCATTAGGGTCTTGATCACCTTGTTCTCAACGGTGTCGGAAGTGTCCACTTTCAGGATCGCCATCTTGGCCATGCTCTCGGTCACCGTGGTGCGCGACATGAAGCTCTGGCTCACCATTAGGTGAACCCTTCGGCTCCTTTCCATTTTGGGTTCTGTTGTTGTGTGTACTGTCTTGAAAATCATGTGAAATACAAGGTAAGTAAACGTTAGATTGAAGTTCTACACGGTCTAGCCTAGATGAATCAGTTTTTCAGACAACAGGACTACATTAAATTATGCACTCAGGGAAAAACGCCGTGCTAAAAACAAGTACAAACAGTCTTGATTTAAGAAAAATTGCATGCTTAACATTTAAGAACGTTCGTGCTCAAAAAGTTCTCATATTGAGCACTATTTGCATTTTTAATGTCTGCCAACTCTAATAATTCCCAACTGTTTATTCTGAAAGTACTCGGTATATAAGGCGCATAAATTAGACAGTGTTTAATGCCCGTGAGCGGCAAGTCGTAAGTAAACTTACAATATTAATATTATTTATACATATATCGTTTATTTCGTTTCAGTTTCCAATACTTATTTCTCTTACTAGCATAAAATAAAAACTCATTTTAATTTCATAATATTTATATATTGATTTAAGAATTATTCGTCCTTAAATCAAGCCTGCAACTTTCTTACTTTATTATAAAATCGTTCTTGTTTTTAGTCCAAATATTACTTGATTTAAGAATTATTCATACTTGATTCAAGACTGAAAGGTTCTTAAATCTAGTATTTTCGGTCTTGAAAATGCGTGCTCGAAAGTAGTATTTTGTTCTCGCGTTCTGTATTTTCCATGCTTGGCGAAGTTTTGACACCGAAAATACTAGGTTCAAGCACGAAATACTTGATTTTTTTTCTGAGTGTGGTTTTATCATTCAAGCGAAGGGTGAAAAAGAACATCTTCCGGTTGAATTTTAAGCCATATTTTATATAAGTACATTTATTTTTATTTCCTTCCTTTTTTATTTTCCGCCTGAAATCTCAAGTCGCCGACGTCTCCAATTCAATTGATTCGTCACCCATCCTTCCAGGAAGCTGCGGAGTTGGACGGCTTGCAGTGCGGCGTGTGAATTGAGTTATATCGCGGCTAAATTCAATTTCTGTGGACGGGTGTTTCAGACAAAAGGCGTCCGCCACGTGGCGGCATACGTTGCGTATGAGTTCTCCAGCCAACTGTATGCTCCGTGCTCGCAGCTTCTGCTGCTGAATATCCTCGCTGGTGAATCCCCCTTTTTTGCTTCTGCTGGCGACATTATTAGTAAGCAAACGAGGCAACAAAAAGCAGCCATACGCTCATGCAGCGTGCTAAAAATGTCCTTCTCATCGCCTGCGATGCGCCCCGAGCTGGTAATTTATATAGGAAAAGTTTCCAAGACACACACATGCTCCCCCGCCTTTTTTGGGGGCGGCAAGTTCTCTGTGGGCGTGGCCGTAATGAGTTCACAGCTAAACGAGCAAGATGACAGGGTTCCGACGTAAGAATACCTGGCCAACAGCCTTCAAAAAATCATTCTGTCGTGTAAATATAAATAATTTGTATCTTATTAATTCGATTATTATAAAATTTATGGATGTAGAAGGGAATTTGAAAGATAGAGGCTTAGTCCTCAGGTCCAAAAATTTATCGAGAGGATTAAGGGAGTAACTATGGTATGAAAATCACTTTAAAAGGGTCTAAAAGTATGCAACAAAATATTTAAATTTCTTCTGCATACTTTCAAGCACCTTTATAAATACACTCAGAAAAAAAATCAAGTATTTCGTGCTTGAACCTAGTATTTTCGGTGTCAAAACTTCGCCAAGCATGGAAAATACAGAACGCGAGAACAAAATACTACTTTCGAGCACGCATTTTCAAGACCGAAAATACTAGATTTAAGAACCTTTCAGTCTTGAATCAAGTATGAATAATTCTTAAATCAAGTAATATTTGGACTAAAAACAAGAACGATTTTATAATAAAGTAAGAAAGTTGCAGGCTTGATTTAAGGACGAATAATTCTTAAATCAATATATAAATATTATGAAATTAAAATGAGTTTTTATTTTATGCTAGTAAGAGAAATAAGTATTGGAAACTGAAACGAAATAAACGATATATGTATAAATAATATTAATATTGTAAGTTTACTTACGACTTGCCGCTCACGGGCATTAAACACTGTCTAATTTATGCGCCTTATATACCGAGTACTTTCAGAATAAACAGTTGGGAATTATTAGAGTTGGCAGACATTAAAAATGCAAATAGTGCTCAATATGAGAACTTTTTGAGCACGAACGTTCTTAAATGTTAAGCATGCAATTTTTCTTAAATCAAGGCTGTTTGTACTTGTTTTTAGCACGGCGTTTTTCCCTGAGTGTAGGTTTTCAACCATAGTGATTTTTGTGATACCTCTAATATTTTTTAGAGAGTTACTACTAGTTTCAAAAGCAACACAAATACAAACCCGACTTACCCTGTAATCGTCGAGAGCAAAGAAGTAGCGCTGAAATGACTTTTGTTTATGAACTAGAAGGGGACGGATACAATCGGCAGGAGCAGAAAAGTAAACTTTGAGTGCTCAGTGCGATGATGTCCCGATGTCCCGATGTCGATAAGTCGCAGGCACTTTTCATCTGCAGACGCAAAAGTTTAATGAGAGGATGCCACAACAACAACGAACGCAATGAAGCCGCATTGTAAAGCTATTTTCGTTTTGCACGGCATTCTATGGGCCAAAGTCAGACGTATTTCATTCTATGCAAATACCAGACAGAAACCAACAAATAACTGAAGCAGACGGAAGACACCCACGAATAAGGAAAATATTTTCCGATTTTCGACACAAAAGTTTCAACACAAGAAAGCAAATTGCAGTCAGTGTGTGCAAGCTGATAATATTGCAAAAATGGAAAAAAAATCACCAGAATGTCTTCACTTTTCTGTCATTACTTAAAGATAGAACAAACTTTAAAGATAGGTTTTATATTTATTATGTATGTGTGCTTTAAAGGGAACGAAATCAATCGAATTCGCCCTGTTTTTAAACAGGGAAAAAAATCGTTTGATCACGATTGACTTTAACTGAAGGTTATTAAGTAGACTTTTCATTGCAAATTGTGTATACTTACGAGGCTTATATAAAAATGTAAAAATTAATTAATAACGAATTTAAATTCGTTATCCCGTAATACCCGTTCCCCTGATGTTGGTCATTAAGAAAATAAATTATCAGAGCTGCCCCAGAGGACTAATTGGGGATTAAGCGGGTACAAATTGAAGACTCCGCCGGAGGACATTCCACGGAACACCACATGGTCAATGAACTAACGCCAGGAAGCAATTAATTTCCGGGGCAAGAGGGCGATGAAGCGGTCCATCGGGCATCCGACCATCCCACCACTGCATCCGGACGGATCAGATGTGTGTGTCCGCACAGCCGTAATATTTGATTAAGCCAGCAAAGTAGACCATGCAAACATTTGGCCAAGAAAGAAGAGCAATTACTGGTCACGAGAGCCCATGAAATGCCAGGATAAACGCACACATGTGTATACATAGTACATATGTAGCCAGGTTCGGCCGTAAAAAGCGCAAAAGAGTGGCCACTAAATAAACAAAGAACGTTCACACTGACAGCTCGGCTAATGGCAGTCCCCACTCCCCTTCGCTCGTTTCTGCGGAATTGGCGGCTTTGCCGAGCTCTCCAACTGACCAGAAACTCAACGTGGCCCAAATCCGTGGCCACTTGACAGCCGACGCCACGTAGCAAACGCTTCCGGCGTGCCGTTTTCCAGCGATGAGAAAGCCGTATGTAGACATACAGTGGCGGACTCAGTCGGTGCTTAGGGGGATTAGCAGTCTATATGTATTTCTAATCACTAAAGATTTTTTGATAATAGGCAAATCTTTAGGTGTCTAAAAGTATGCAACAACAAATCTTTAACTCAGCTGTAGAGTTAATTCATTTAGAAAGTCGATAGTCTTTTACTCACTGCATACCTTTAGGCACTAGGGTTCTGAAATCACTTTTAAATTCCAATTTAACAGGGATTTCAGAACCCTATTTAACCCTTTTGTGGAAACCCCCATAGTTTTTATTTATTTAAAAAAACGATATTAGCACTCATACAAAAAATAGATCATGTATGAATATAAATATATTGTAATAAAATAAAAAAATGTGTTAACTACCAAAAGTTAGAGTTAATAAACTAATAATGATTTGAAGAATTAATGAATTCCCCTCTAAAATATATGGCACCTTTTTTTTACTCTTCAAAATAAATAGGAAGTCTTTTACAAATTGCATTTCGCAACCTGATCAAAATATTTAACTTATAAAATCTTAAAATGTTAATCTTTTGTATAAGTAATACAAATTCTTGGAAAATGTGGTATATCAACATTATATATAAGTCAATTTTACTTTAAAGTACTTATGTTTAACACTATTTATAAATATTAGGTTGAATATATTCCAAAACAATTGGTTGAATACTTTTTTTAACTCCCTAAAAATATCTCACATATATGATACTAAAATACGTTGTCATGGCCAATTAAATGGATACCCTTCAGCATCCCACCCAGAAAAAGCTATTTAATACCAAGCTTACGTGGCGTAACTTAATAATTTCAAATTACCGGTAATTGGGCCCAAACCCCAATCACCCAAATCATTTTGTACGCCCCCGCCCCTGTTTTTGGGCCAAGGAAAACGGAAGCGGCTAACAAAGTTGGACGTTTTGCATGCCCGGCTATAAATATGGTCCTCACACTGGACCAAAGAAACTGAACAAGAGGCTTACATCGCCGGGACAGGTGGTGAAATTAGTTTTCGCCCCGTCGCCAGCAGGTTTCCAATGGAACACCACAAGCTGAGGCTTCCTGACAGGCACTTGGACGTGGCTTGAAGGATGAGGGATGTGGGCCAGAAACAGAAACAGGGACAGGGACACCACCCCATCACCGCCTGCAAGCCGGAAACTTTTGCGGCGGACGAAACAAGCGGCGGTTCTGATTGCATTTGGAGTGGCCGAGGCGAGGCGTTTAACCTTGACATTTAGGGGGAAATCCCTTGAGCTGCTCTGATCACAGAGGAGGCGAAGTCCGGAGGACGTAGCCCTTCCCACGAGGCCAAGTCGGGCGATAAATTATGCCATTGGCGAGACAAGTGGGCGGTTGCCCC